CAGGAAGTTTTGCTAGAGACGGCGTTTTGTGCACGCCCCGATAGTTATTAACATCGGACCGAGATCCTGACTTGAGGACGGGAATGATAATTGACGTTTTCCATGCTTCAGGAAAGAATCCTTTGGAAATATAAACCGAGAATAAATGACTAAGCAGTATGGGAAGCTCGGATGCTTGTTTAATAATCTTATTTGGAATTCCATCCTTTCCCGAACAGTGTGAGTTTTTCAAACGACTTATGGGTTTCTTGATGAGATCTGAGGAGACATCGATTGTACTCTGTGTCCTATCTGAATGCAAATGGAAGAAAAGGACCGGTTCGGACTCAGTATTAAGGTGTTTTGCAAAGAAATCATTAAACAACTACGCCTTGTCAGTGTCTTCCATGAGGAAGACTTTGTTATCATTTAGCTGGAGTGGAAGCTCGCGACCACGCTTAGAGGAGGACCGATGACAGAAGATGTTAACGACGAATTTGCCAGGATTTTAACCCCTGAGAGCAAGTGATTATCTTTGCCTGTCGCGCGCCTGGCACATCCTTGAGGCCATCTCGAAAATCTCTGTGATTCTAAGATGAACTGATAAGGAACTAGTGGATAGGTCACGCAGCTGCAGTCTCAACGTTTTTAATCTGTTGTGAAGAAAATGAGGAACAAGGGAAACTGAAGAATTAGGCTTGAGATATCTACGCGGCACAAAATCTAGGATGTCCTGTGAAGCACTGGACATGACGTACCGAAGAATTGTCACATCGCTACAGGAGAGGAAGACACACCAATCTAAAGATATAGTATAGTTATTTATTAAACCATTATCTACGCAATCGTTGTTCATGTAAGTCCGAACGGTGCTGTTCTTTTTTGAAAGGGCAAGCGCAAGCAACAATGAATTAATACGTGGTCACTGTCAAAGAGGTCCTTCTTGAAAGCAACAAAAAGGAGCAATGTCATTGATAAAGATTAGATCTAAAATGGGACTTTCCCTTGTTGCAGAGCGCACCAACTGGGACCAGTTAGAAAAGTTGACAATATCTTGAAAATGCTGGAATCTAGGTGGACAGCTATTGGAAACCCAGTCTATTTCAGGAAGGTTAAAATCCCCAGCGATCATTTTAACATCGAAAGCAGCATCCGAAACTAGTCTAAAGGTTTCAGAAAGTTGTGAATCATCACTGGCTAAAGAATTTGTAGGATGTAGATACAGCCAATAATTGCCTTTCTTTGCGGCGAGAGAATAACAGATGCAAAGCAGGAGTTTCCCGTGAACGAGGAAACATCCAAGTAATAGGGAGAGTGCTTTAGGTAGGATTTAAGATAAAGAAGACAAACACCCTACGCCTAGTCGTGTGGTCTTGACGGTAGAAATCGAAGTCATCTATCAGAAGGGCAAAGTCAGGAATTAGAGAATGGCTCCGTCTTCTGACACCTGCCAACTCTCTTTTGCTATGCCGTCAAATATCGTCGATCCTTTTCTGTGAACGAAATTCCACCTTTGAATAAATTACCCAGGAATGTGAAAATTCAGCAGAATTGTCCTTTGTTCAAGAGACAAAGTAATCGTTTCTTTCGCATTCGGAAAAACTCTCACAAATTTTGAGCGCTGAATCCACCGATCGAATATGCCATAGTGATGGCGCTCGTGAACTCTGATTCGTTATTCATCGTGTCAAAATCGCCTTCCATATATTAGGCTGATCATCTGTTCTCCTCTGACATTGAGAGAAGTGTGAGTAAAAACATGGTTGTGTTTATATGGTCACTCTTTCCGAGAGGCGCACTGGAGTATTTTTCGTAAATCTTAGAGAAATCTTTAGTGTTAACCAAGAACAGGGCATTCGCTCTCTGGTTCTCTCTAAATCTTGTTGTTGACTTCACATACAGCGCCAGAGGGAGGTCGAATATGACGTCCACTAACTTATATCTGAAGGAAGTTGGCCCACCGTTTCCCACTCTATCGTAGGTACGTTGAAATCCTCCGCAGTAAAAACTTCTTGGTGCCTAGCTTCTTCCTTGACTAAGTGAAGTAACGACCCATCATCTGCGCTCGGAAGATTTGGAGGTCTGAAAACCAGCAGAAATTCCAGGTCTTGAGCTTTCCGCTTCTTTATCTTTATCAAGGCAGATTATGCTAGAGCAATGAAGTCGGAGTTTCGTTGTGAAACCAGCCTTTGAATTCATCGAACTTCAAGACGATAATTTGCGAATAATTGTATAGAAATGTCAATTTAGCCTGAGTAATTCCGACATACAGGCGTTTGTCTATTTTATGAGATTGGATGCAAAATCCGGCCGGAGCTGATCGTCAGCATTCTTATGGTTCGTACCGGCACGATGGACGACAATGTATGAATACTCTAAGAGGTCTGTCTGCCATCACGCGAATTGATCAGTCTGATTCCTGAAGTTCTCTAACCACCTCAGTACCTGGTGATCGGTGCGCAATATGAACCGTTTGTCGGCTAGGTGAAGGTGAAACTTCTTGACAAACGCCGCGACGGCCAGGATCTCTCGCACTCATCCAACCATCGCAAAGTGGGCCATTTGTTAGTAAGGGCATTCAGAGGGGCGGCTGTGTATGCGAAATCTTCGATAGGGCGGCGATAATGGGAGGCCAACCCTAGAAAACCGCGGAAGTCGGAAACGGACGTAGGTTGTGGCCGGTGTCGAATCCGCCCAGTCTTCATGGGATCTGTCTTAATCCTATCAGTTGAGACAACGTTACCCACAAATGCGACAGATGTCGGCAAGAAACAGCACTTGACTGGGTACAGTTTGGGGCCCTTGGCCTGGTTATGGGTGAAAATGGTTCGAAGATGAACGTGGTATGACTCGACCGATGACCCATTTACGACAACATCGTTCAGGTCCAGGTAGGACACAAGTCCCGCAAAACCGAGGCCATCAGACGCTTAAAGGTCGCAGGCGTCCTTGCCAATCCAAGCATTATGGTGTTAAAATTTTATAGCTCAGAGGAAATGGAAAATGCAGTCTTACACCTGTCCTCGGGGACCATTTCGACCTGCTAGTAGTTAAACTATAGATCAAGCGTGAAGACAGCCTCCCATGCGAAAGCAGCAGAATTCTGACAGGTAAGAATGTGAACGGCAGTCACATTTCTAATAGGGAGGTTGGGGGGAGAGAGGATTAGGGACCAAGCGTATGAGGTCAGAATGCTGGGGAAGGTTGGAACCGCCTGAATCACAGACTAGCTGGTGATGAGAGCTATGGGGAGAGTAAAAGGGGAGGGTTGTCGTCTTAGTCCTGGGATGGTCAGTGGCAAAATCGATGCAGAAATTATGAGTATGCAGAAAATCAGCACTAAAAAATACTATGGGACTGAATATCATGATAAACGCAAAGAGTATGGCGAAATTCCGACGAAATTAGGAAAAACGGTACCTCGAATAGGTACGGAAAAGAGAGGGAGGGGGTGCTTGTGTGAGATCTTGGTCTGTTCAAACCAGGCGTGCGAGAACCCCTTAGGGTTTAGCAGGGAGCAGGCGGCCTCCGTATCTACGAGAAACGCTAGTCTTCAGTAAAGAGTAGGTGCAGGACAGTCAGACTGACTTGATGTTACTGTAGGGACTGGATAGCACTCACTCGAAACTTCAGCCACATCACTCTGACGGCCTGGGAGCGGAAGAGTGAAATTTCGGTACGTCTACGTTGCCAAAAAACCGAGTCTGCTCATGCCGGAGGACTGAGGCTGAGCAACAGGAAAAAACACCGATGACCCATAGCGATCCTCGTACTATTGCACACGGGTCAGAAGGGATTCCGACGAAAGTTTGGTCTTCTTTAGTAACTTCCACCAAAGGTTATTATCTTACAACCCAGCGCAGAAATTCTTGGTCAGAACGATATCAGCAACAGTTGAATGTTGGTCGGGGATAGCTGCGAGAATAGGGGGACGAAGTTACCTCACGTAATCTCTAGCGCTCTCACGAGGGGGCTGCAGACGGGACAAAAATTGCCTGTAAACGTGCACAGGGGGCTTTGGGAGCGCAAAGAGGCGGCGGAGGGACGCAAGCTGTGACTCGCCATCGGCACAATACAGCACTCCGAAAGCAGAAGCCTTTGTCAGCACCTTCATGGACAAATGGTGGACGATATTTCGGGTGCGTTCCTCGGCGGTGATTGAGGCCATGTGGACACTCGCTTAAGAGTGCCAGATATCAAGATTATCACCGGGCGTTAACAATGGAAGCGTGAACGGGGACGACTGCCTTCTCTCCAGAACCGACAGACGGACGCGAAAAAACTGGCGGGTTGGTTCAGAAGATGGTTGCTGGTGAGTCATGTTGAAAACCGCAGTCAACAGATTTGAAGCGAGCTAGCTGACAAGGCACCGTACCAAAACAGAAGGTATCTTTACCAGAAGGGTTTATTTGAAGACGGAAAGTGGGAATGTAGCGATACAATGAAGTGTTCAAGCGAAGATAAATAACACACGAGCAAACAATTCAGAAAAGCCAACAGTGCATACTTCGGAAAACAGGAAATGCATTAGGCATCGTCTTTTATAACCCACCACAGTATTAGTTCCTCCGTTCCTACAACACGTTTATATCAAATCAAGGGAAATAACTAAGGTCAGGGAATAGGTGATAATGCATTTCCATCACAAACCCATCAGTTACCAAAGCCTATACCTTACCCTTGCGGTAACATATCTAACCCTACCCCTGCCACTAACCCCTATGTTAACTACCAACCTTCACCCCTACAATAACTAAAGCGCTGACAAAATTGGAAATTCGCGTAAATCCACCCATTTGTATCTCTAATAACCAGCACCATTAAAGTGAGCCAGGAATAATCTAAGACATTCGCGGAAACTTATCACCGGACAGGTGTTGAAGACCAATAGGGGACACGTTGTCGCCGTCGACCCTACAAGAATTCTCCCGCTATTAGGACAGGTGTAACGTGCTCAACCAAGGTGAGGACTAGTCACGATACACACAGTCCATTCTGAGCCCCGACGACAAGGAAAGACGATGCCGATCCTCAACAGTCTTATCAGACGGAAGACCGCACCAGAAACACCGTGGATGCATGGAGACGCTTGCATATTTTTGGCCGGCCTACCAGCCGCGTTCGATGAAGTGGCGAGGACACCCGTTGGCCATGAAGACGCGCTGGAGGTAACGTAATTCAGGCTTTTGTTCTGCGGCTCGTTGTAGTGTCTCTGCACTTCTGCAGAGTGTTCGCACTCCGTTGCGTTTGCGGCTTAAGGGGTGCTTACTTTGGTAGCTAGGGGTTTTGCGTGTATTAGAAACATTCCTATAGACCATTGTTTTTAGGTGTCCGTTGGATTTTCGATGCAGGAGGACGTCAAGGAACGGCTGTTGGTTGTTGATTTCCGCCACCATTTTAAACCGGATGTCAAAGAAATCTGAGTCCATGACATCGTGGAATGTTTGGACTGACTTCTGAAGAAATTCAAAAGCCGCAAATCTTCAATTGAAGATTTAAGGTCCAGTTAAATTATATCGTTCATCCTCCCCAAATGAAGACAAGGAATAAGGGGCGATTTTTCGGATTTCACTGTGCTTGTGTTGACGCTTGGGAAACTTCCTGCTTTCCATTATCAGAGTAATGGGGGTGTCAGTTCATGCTAGTCTTGAACTGTTCTGTCTCGCCGCCTGTCCCGTGTCACAGGCATGCCTTACGCACAAATTCTGACCTGCCTTCTGGCTAAGGATTGTCTTTGGTCTCCCCGCGGGCGATTGCTGGTTCACTCGTGTGACCTCTTTCCCCCGCGGTCGCGGGATCGAATGCCAGGTGTTGCACGCCTCGGATTGACGGCGGCCAATAAGCCAAAAATGGCCATGTGTATGCATTTATACATTAGGAAGATGGAATTCTGTGGGAAACAGTAAACTGCATTGTGCAAATTTTTGAGACTGGTTCCCCAGCTCGTCTTCAGACAACGGGCGTGCAAAAACAATTAACTTCTAGACCGAGTCTGACAAAAGGATTCTATAATTGTTAAAGTCATCTTCTCGGGATTCGGATGAGTCAGTTTGAATCTGTCCTTAACGATTTTGTATGTGGCATCTAGATCGATATGCCGGTTGATGCATGCCTCATCTGAGTGCATTGCCTCCGGGAATTCGCGGCCTTTGCTTATTGGGCAGGCGCCAACAATGCGAGTGTTTTCCCATGCAAGTTTGTGCCAAGTGTCTAGTGTGTGCATGACCACCTGAGATAGATGGTCGCGTCTCTTTACCGCTAACTGATGTTCATGTATAGGGGTTGAGATAGATTTCCCAGTTTAGCCACAATGGACGGCATCAGAACTAGAACATGGGATTTTAAAGACAACACTTTTTCTTTCAAGGTAGCTAACCCTGTTCTTAGGGTGTAAAAGCTGTGTGTGTAAGGTTGTTGCCGGCCGGTGCGCTACGTGTATCTGATACTTTTTTGATTGTCTTTCGACTAGAAGAAGAAGAAGAAGACGAGGAAGAGGAGGAGGAAGAAGAAGAATAATGATAAGAAGAAGAAAAAGTAGACGGGAAGGCGATTGCGGGACCAATTGTTTATTTCTTCGACGTTTCGAACTCTCGCGTTAGCCTATCGGAAAAAAAACAAAAAACCGTATAATTCATTGCACATTTAGCTCACCTCTGCCGGAGATGGCCTTCAACTGCGCTACTGATTTGTTTACGCAGTGCTTGACAAGTGATTGACAGTTCGGTATGTCGATTGATGGAGTCCTCAGTTGAGTGCCAGGCTTCCTGCAGCAGGCGCGCCCAAAGTCAAAGTCGTGCTCTGGCGAGGAGGCGTGGACGGCTACCGAGGAGAGTTTATCCTTTCCTCTCATAGCCAACCCATGCCTGTGCAGTCTCTTTCGAACATGCTTGGGTGTCTCACCAAAATAATTGGTTTGACCACAATCGTAGTCTATGCGGTAAATGACCCCCGATTTCTGACTGGTGGGAATGGGGTCCTTGGGGTGCATGAGTTGCCGGCGTATTGTTGCTTCAGGTCTGTGAGGGACGCCAATCCCAAATTCGATCATTAGTATAGTGAGTTCTTCTGACACACCGGCTATGTACGACACTGCGCGCCAGCATTTCGGTTTTGGTTGCCCATTCGGTTTACTTCTCCGTGTTTCTCGCCTGCACTTTTCGACGGATTTCCCAGGGTAGCCGTTCGCTGTGAAGAGTTTCCACAGCAGGAACTGGACCTATGACTTCTTGTGTGATGGCTCAGTGTAATGGGTTTCTACACGCCAGTGGAATGTTGTCACGCAGCTGGGGTTGCGTGGAAGGGGGTTATTGTTAAGAAAACTTAGAATACGAGAGGTATTCGTCGTCTTCCTGCAAATTGTTATTTTTAGCTTCCTATCGCCTTTTCTCTGAACTACTGTGTCTAGAAACGGCAACTGGCAATCTTCTTCTTCCTCCATCGTGACCTGGATATCTGGGATGATCAGGTTTAGATATTGCGTAACGTCCCTAATGCTGTACGGATTGGTGATAACAAATGTGTCATCAACATACCGCACACCCTGTCGTGGTCAATAGTGGTCAAAAGCCAACGCTGTAACACTGTCTCAACGATCAAGCTGGAGAACGGCAACCCCATTGCTGTAGCTTTAACTTGTTCGTAAACAGCTCCATTGAGGGCAAAGAAGGTCTTCAGGCAGCACTTTAGTAGATCAATAAGGTGTTTCATCTTGAGTTTTTCGTTCATCTCGTTGAAATTATACTACTTATAGTGCTACTTGTTTATAGGGTGGGCACTACATGATTATTCCACAGTAATTGATTGTCTTCGACTTAAATGTCTGTTGAACTTTCGGTTCTGACCCTAAAAAGTAATGTCCAGGGAAGTTAGCTCCATGTCCTGCACCGAATAATACCTGAAATTATTACCTTGATATGTATATTTACATGCATATGAGTCAATAGATACATGCAAACTGATGAAACTATGTTAGAGCCAGTAGCGACAAACTGGATAATAAATGCCGTTATCTTTTTTTCCATCCAAAAGGCAAAAGCAAGCAATCGCGGCGTGATCTACCCACAATGGCGAATGGTTTGGGCTGAACACAGCTAGCCTGAATGAAGTATAGGAAATCTTTCTGTCTCATATCGCTAAAATGTTCCCTCTGCATCAACAATCCAGTGGATAAACTCTGCACACAACGGAATTTCCCCACATGTAAGTAACTTCCTGTACATTAAGTTATTCAAACTGAACTCCTTTGTTAAATGAATGCGTCAGAGCCGTAAATCACTGAGGACATTTTTGGGACCTTGACCTGCCAGCAATGTCGACACTGTGTACCGCTGTTTAGACGAAACGTAAGGTCCCCAAACCGCACCAAGTCTGTCGAGTAAAACATTGGTTATGTACCCCCTACTTCTTCGCATGCAGTAACTGGTGGGTCGCATAGTGCGGGCCGAGGACTGCTCCCAACTACGCATAAAGTCTTTTCAATCGAACCGTCTTATCGCTGATAAGTGATTTTTTTACCGACAATTTCCCTATAAGGTGAGAAGGATCGTAGCCTAGGTGTCTTGGCGAATGATAAGTACGGCCAGCCAGAGACAGAATGTGCATTGAGAACGACGGTGGGGACTACAAAGAAGCCGCCAAGCACGAGTCAACAGTGTTCGATGGGTAATTCAAAAAACCTAAGAGCTGCATAGTAATCAGATAACGAATATAGGACCGACAATACGACAGGAGACCGTGAAGCCTCCATGTGGTAGTCCTAACTGCTAAGCCAAGAAAAACCGACACTTAAGCCAGAAGTAATAAAACTAATCCAAACCGACATGATCCAAGAAAACCATGCTAGTTCGGCATAAAAGAAGTAAGTTAGGCATGATTCATGGAGAACAAAAACATGGCATGGAGAAATAGGGGACCGAAAGATGTAATGGACCACACAGCAAAGAATCTGCTGTTGCAAATGGGCTAGATGCACCAGTTAGGTAAATGCGGTTGGAAACAAAACGCAGGGAAGACATGGCAGAGCACTTCGTATTGCTGATGAGAAGTAGGCCAAGCAAGACCTCAAACCTAACAGCATTTACGCTGTGGTGAGCACTGGCATGGTGCGGAAACTGACAACAAACGACGATGCTTCGGTCAGGATTCACTGGTTCGCATGTGGACGGTTGGTGGAGGCATTTAACGGAGAGGTCATAAAATGATGCTACTTAAATGTAGGACGTAGCATGCATTGCAACGTAAAACGTTCGGGTAGTGCAAGGGAAAAATTGTTGGTTTCTGATGACGTGGTACTGGTAGAGCTTCCTCGTAAATGAGTCCACGGGTGAGGACATGACGACACCAAAAGACAGAGCTTTCCATGTCTTAATCACCCTGTGGCCGAAGAACAATTTACTTGCGTCCGCTTAGTTTGAGAGGGTTGCCTCTCAAGCTAGTAGTTGTGGCCGACTCAAAGAATTCGCTGGATGCATGACAACAATCCCGACCCCGCAGCATGCGAAACATTCGAATTTAGTCGCCACGTACTTGGTGGTAGTCCAAGGGAAATAGGTCAAGATTGGACAGTAGAGTTTTGTAAATTAGGTTTTTGATCTCTGACACATTTGGTCGCCAATCGTTGGACTTTTTCGAATGTGGCACGGTCTTTGACAGACCAGGGTCTCCAACTGTGTCTGTACAAATATTCCGAAGACGTTGCCAAAACACTCTTCGTCGAACTTTGAAAATGCTGGACACTGTGGATTTCGCTACTATCAAGCAATGGAATAATGGCTTTATTGAGGATGTTATCCACACACACCTGGATCCTTCTTAACCTATAACTTTGGCAGCGGTGTGTGATTTAGAAAGTACTTCCTTCGGTCCGTAGAGATGTATCTGTTAATTCGCAGAATGTTGCATTTGGCAACATTGAACGAGAGGAGGCAGTGATTCGACCATTGCTCGAGTCCATTCAAGTTTGTCTGTAGATTTGCTCCATCGTCCCCGTTGCGGATGACATTCCAAAGCTTTATGTGGTCAGCAAACATGGCAATGTGGCAGTCCAGCTTACGGATGCAGTCATCAGTATATATGCATGAGGAAGAGGATAGGACCATGAACGGAGCTCTGAAGTACGCCGCTAGCCCCGCCGATTGCTATTCACCAAGACGGACAATATGAGATCGATCAATCAAGAAGTTTTCGATCCACTTCAAAGCTGCCTCTTACCATTATGCGGCTGAGCTTCCTTAGGAGACGTTGGTGTGGCACATTATCGAAGACCTTCCGCAAGTCTATGCCGGCCACATGCACCACGTTTCCCCCATCAATCGCTAGGCGTCCACCGCTCTAGACAGTAGAGTAAATTGGTTAAGCAGGATCTTCATCTGCAAAATCTCATAAGAAGTAGAAGCGATCGTTGGAACAAGAGCTTTATTCGCCTGACGTTTCGGATTCTCTCTCGAACCCATCATCAGAGACAGTGACAGTGACCCCTTTCTGTCACTGTCTCTGATGATGGGTTCGAGCGAGAATCTCAAATGTCGGGCCAATAAGCCTCTTGTTCCAACGATCGCTTCTAATTCATATCAGTCCAAGTTTTCTTCGCCACTTCCCTGTCGTAGCCTGAGATCCTGGACCAATTGCTGGCGTTTTAGCCGTTCCTGTGATGCGCAGTCCGGCTGAAAAACTACTTGGTTGGAATATTTTAATTGAAAACGCCTTGAAAGGATAAGATGGACATGCTCTTTGTAACTCAGAACAATTTTGAGGGGCCTAGGATGCCGTGAGATGGAGGGTTCAGTAGTGCGTCTTCCAAGACTGAAGGCTCTTAATACCAGAACTTCTTGGTTGGGTTGAAGCATTGTATTCAGAAGACCTTAGAACAGGCCGAGATCTGCCAGAACGCGTTCTTCAGGTGTGTCTGCGTGTGCCTCCTGAAGCCCCTGAAGCACTATTCTCGGAGTGGCCTGTCTTTGTTTCGTGATGATGGTGATCTGGGAGTTTCTGGCGAACCTTTCATGACGATGTTCAGGTTGTCTTCCCCTTTGGGGACCTTTTCTTGAACTAACCGCGTTGTGTTTGTGGCAGTACTGTCCCTATCGTTTATGTCGATAGAGAGGATATTCGCACCCGCCGCGACTGCTTCTACTCGGTCGCTGGTGGTTTCTGTCGATTGCTCTGCCTTTCCACCTTAGATAGTTATTTTCCTCGAGTACGACGAAGCCGTCCGATTTATGTCGTTCCCTCTTCAATCATTAGTCCATTGCGGCCTCATTTCTTCTTCTTTTGATGTGATTTCAGTTGCCTGAGTCTTATTATCACTTACCTGCTTGTTCGGCGGTGATCATCTGCTATCTGCTCTCTGGGCTTCTACATATGTAGCAACTGGTAGTGGTCGACGTCCACGTTCTGCGAAAGTCGTGTGGTTGTTTGTGGACGATGCGAATATTGCCATCTTGAATTAGATTTTTAATTCGGGTTGGCTGCAGGAGCTTCCAATGTTTCAAAATGTAGAAAAATATGAACCCCCGTCAGAGGACCAAAATTTGAAATCCAATTCTAAACGTGCGCATCGGTTGGAGAAGACTCCTAGCGACCGTTTGGCACGTAATTTGTCACAGCGAAAGTTCATAATGGAGGTAATCTGTGAACGCCATGGTTTGGACGTGCTACGTAACGAGCGTCAGATACAACAACCGCAAGACCCCCAACCACGGTAGAAAAAAACTTCTGAGGCCGTTTATCGGATCTGGAAAAGTTGCGAACAAACAAATTACGTTGGACAAGCCTGAAGACTGCTCTGAACTGAAATGGCCGAACATACGGCAGCAGTGCGGAGAAATGATGCCAACTCTTAGGTCGCCGCGGGCCATTCGACGAAACCTGGCTACAAGTTGAAGTTCAATGAGGCCCAGATTCTCGCGAGGAGTGAAAATTACGTGAGCTGCAAGCTGTTTAAATCATGGTTCACTGCCGCCCGCCCCCGTCTATTAAAAAGTGCAATGACCTTCCCCATCCATATTGGGGGCTGAGAGTTCGCGTCTAGGTGGAGTAATTAGTCACGCGGGGAGCGCTCAGGTGAACGCTGTTCCCAACGCCAAGGTCGGTGGGCCAGATGATCGAGCAGCCATCACACCAACATCCAAACATCACACCATGTGCAACAGTTTCGGATAAAGGAGTGAGTCCTGAATTCTCATATTCACGCAATAGCATGGCGACTGCATTCTACACATACTGCACACGTATCTGCTATTTGCTAATAGAAGCGAAGTGGCGATTTCCAGAAAGAAGTCGTAAAGAGGGAGAAAGGATCGCTGGAGCAGGAGTTTTATTAGCCCGACGTTTCTGATTCCCACTCGAATCCATCACGAGAGACAGAGTCAGGTAAGGGTAGTGGGTTGCCCAGGTGTTGTAATATCTATAGGATGCAGTTGCTAGGCCGCTACATGCCTATCACAGTTGGCAGCTCCCGAGCGCATCACAGTTGGACTGGCCAGGTGTTGAAATATGCAGTTGCCATGCCGTTACTACGCGTCAAGATTATCGGCCCCCACGCTTATCGCACGCTGCCGAGTGGCTGACTGCCGGATTTCGTCATCCGTTTGGACCCCTGGGTGATTTGACTATTGTCTCTGATGATGGGTCCGAGCAGGAATGTGAAATGCCAGACCAATAAAACCCTTGTTCGGCCGATCGTGTCTCCTTCTTCAGGACTGCTTCCTGGGACTCGGTGCATCTGTTAGCAACTGAAGGTAGTCAGAAAATGCGGTGGTATGAATGGGCCAGTCAACACGGGGCATGACGTCATGTAGATCTTACAGAATACACCAAACAAGGCCCACTGAAGACAATGTAGTAGGTAGCTATGTGTACGATGTGGATTTGAAAACCAGAACTCGAATTCCTACCTCAATTCGCGAACTCCTGCCATGATACATGTCTAACTGATGTTAATTCTGCCCAAGAACAAACCCTAATTCCATGCGTGGAAGAATGTGTTGCAATTTTCAACCTGTGGGTTTCTAAACTGCGTTTGCTTAATTCTGATCGACGACACAGTTTACAGCAGACGACGATGTGTGACGTACAACCGCAGAAAGCCCTCAACT